AGACAGACACACCTCATGGAGATGCTGGACAACGGGGATGGGTCACATCCCAGGTGGGACAGAGAGGGAGGGTGCAAGATTTCATCACGCTACTCAAAATAGCACGCAGTTTAAAATGTATGAATTGTTTATTTCTGGAATTTTCCATTTAATATTTTTGGACTGTGGTTGATTGTGGGTAACTGAAACCACAGAAATGAAACTGGCTGAGGGGGACTACTGTAAGTGAATTTTCAAATATGGAATCAGTGAATAATGAGGATCGGTTGTACAGGTTTTCTGAAAGGTCAGGGAGAGACTTAATATTATTCATATCCTTTAATCACATAGTTCTAGGGATAATGTTTGTTTTACAGGTCACTTCTGGGAATATGTAAGGTACGGTGCAGTACAGGCCACTTAAAATACATTTGAGCAGATGAGGTAACAGGAACCAGCTGAAGGAAAGTGAAAGCTGTAAACATGAACAGAATTCAAATGAAAAGACATAGTGCAGTGACACAGAGGCTCTTTGCGTCTGTGAAGCAGCTGGCCCTGTGTGCTGAGATAGGAAGGCGGCGGCCCGGTGCGCGTGCACAGCCAGGCTTGTCCTTCTGCAGAGCTCCACCACCCCACCCCCACCCCCACCCACAGCCAGCTCACTGACGCTGGTCCCAGTTTACAGCGGAGTGCTCTAAGAAGAGCAGCCGCTCGGCGTGAACACCTGGTAGGCTATTTCATAGTTTTTAACCAGTTGGTAGAAATCGTATGGATAATGTGTGAAGACCAGATCGCTTCTGGGTTTGCCAGTCGGAATAAAGTGCACGACACTGACGTTGGTAGCATGCTGCCAGCTGGTCTGCAGCCTGGAGACCAGGGCTCCAAGGGACCTTCTGCCTTGGGTAGGTGAGGAGTGTCGGTTGCCAAGGTGCAGAGGTCTGTTCTCGGTTTCATCGCTGTAGATTTAATTTCCTCGTGGGTGGGATAGACTCCATGCGTACTTGAGAGGTTTTGACAGCTGTGCTGTCACGGTGGTGTGGGCACCTGCAGTTACCAGGACAGGCCCTGGGGAGGCAGTTAGGACGTGAAGGGAGAGTCTGAATCTAAACGCAGGAGAAAGTGGCCCCGTCGACTACTCTGGGTTTCCTTATTACCGGAATCCATGGCAGGCTTTGTTTTTTAACTCACACTTGACAAGGTGAGGGCAAGTCAGCCATTTTCTCAGGGTGGGCCGAGGCTGTACCCACTGTGTAACTGAAGCTGTGCCGTCTCGTTTCTCAGGACTCCGTGTGGGGGATGAACCACAGTGCACTCCATTCAGTATTTCAGACCAATCAAAGCAACAACCAACAATCCAATTTTGAGGCTGTGCAGAGTGGCAAGAAGAAGAAAAAACAGAAGATGGTCCGAGCAGACCCCAGTTTACTAGGTGAGCACAGGCCTGGTGTTCGTTGGGTGTCGGGAGACTGCAGGTTATAGCAGCTGCCATGTGAGTCCCGCGGTGGAATGTTTTTCACGAAGGGAAATAATTCTTGTATAAAATTAACTTTTTAAATCAGTTCAAAATAGTATTTACTGGGCATCTCATTGCAAGAGCTGTGTCTCGTGTGCTATAAGGAGTTATATTGTGTGGTCCTTTAAACTTTAAAGCCTTATTCATATTTAATAGGACTTTCTCTAGAAGGCCTTTCAATTTAGTTGGGAAATAATGCTAATGGAAAACAGTAAAGGTTGTTTACAGACTTAAACGCTGATCTGTGTGGAAGCCGACCGTGAATCCAGTCAGGTTCTGAGAAAAGCCCCCAGCATCTGTCGAGAGCACTGTGTATAGCGTGTGATTCTCAGGACGACTGACTGCTTTGCGAAGTGACGTTCCAGTTACCTGTGAGCGAACTCCGACCTAGAGGGTTTAGAACAGTTCCCAGTGTCACACAGCTGTGCGGCAGTGGGCTTTCAGAGCGGGCCTGTTTTCCTTCCATTCTTCTGTGTGACCCACAGCTGTTCTCGCCTAGCATTGAGGACCAGTGTCTTCACATGAGGCAGCTTCATGGAAAAGGTGACACCTGAATTGAGGCTTTAAAGACGGGCAGGAATGGTGTTTTGGGAATAATAAACAGTATAGGCAAAGTGATGGGCTGCCCGTGTTTCTTAAATTGGCCTAACAATCTGCATACAGCGATAAAATTACTCTCCACTTAATGTAAATAGGCTATTGTAAAACCATGCTGTTTGGAATAGAATGATTATATTGGCAAAGATGGCAGGTTGCAGTGTCGGCTTGATTAAGAGGCTGCAGTAGAAACCAGGTAGAAGATAGTGGTGGTCTGGAATCGGGTTTTGGCATTGGAGACGGAGAGGAGTTAGATGGATTTGAGAAGCTTAGTGGGTATAACTGGCTGAACAAGGAGGATGGAAAGGTTTGGGCAGCAGTATGGATAGTGTTGCCTTTTGCTAAAATGACAGTGGAGCCAGTTTCTGGGAAATGATAGAAAGTTTAAGTGTCGGGTGAGTGGAGTGCAAAGTGGCCGCGAGACATCAAATGAAGATACTTGCAGGGAGGAACCGATAGCACAGCAAGAGGGAGATGACAAGCCTGTTCTGCCCTTGGTAGAACCCATGCTTTTCTTCAGAGGTTTCCTACCCCAGAGAGAACAAAGTGTCAGTCACAGAAACTTAACTTTGAGGATCACCCTTTGGAGCTGGTGCCTGGAGGCTGGCTTTGGGAACCTAGAGACCTACTGACGTTCTGTTTTCTTTTGCCTGTCTTGAAAGCTTATGTTAAGAATAGATGAAATCATCCAAAATTTTACCTGGTTTTGACAGACAGATGAACATAGATTTAAAAGTGTTCCTCAAATTCTGCGTGTGGGTTCTAGCTAAGAATCCCTTACTATTTAGCTGTGGCACTTAGGGCTAGCGCTCAGGAAACAGGTTTCTCTGGAAACGAGGTAAAGCTCTTATTATTTTTAATCGACTTGTACCTTAGTGATTTACAGATTAAGAAAATAGACACTCATCAGTTGTAAGTTACCCATGCACAGAGTGGGGAAAATAGGTTTTAATTCGATCCCCCATTTCCATTGAAAAAATCATCACGATCGAAAGAGAACTTTGCTTCTAAAACGAACCATCAGGAGGGGGCCCGGCGTCATATTTTGGTCACCCAGACCCTCTGTTGCACTGTGTCTTCCTCTAGTTTCCATAGCTCCCACGCGCCATGGAGAGCCAGCATCCTGTACTTGGCGTGACGAGTGCAGCACAGGTTAGGGGTATCGACCTCCTGCATGGTTGAAAATCATGTATTACTTTTGACTCCCCCAAAATTTAATCATAGTCATCCCTGGGGAATCGGTTCCAGGACTGCCGCGGGTACCAAAATCTGAGGATGTTCACATCCCTGATATAAAATGGTGTAGAACAGTGCATACAGACGGCCCTCTGCACCCACTGATTCCCAGCTGCAGGTCGAGGATACTGTTTTCGCTCCATGGTTGGCTGACTGTGGATGCGAAACCCTGGGATACAGAAAATTGGCTGGATATTTATTGAAAAAAAAAAAAAAAAATCCGCATTAAGAGGACCCAAGCAGTTCATAGCCTGCTTTTGAGGGGCCGCTGCATACAGTACACTTTTCTTGTAAGAATAGCATCTCAAACCTGAAGGAAGTGGTGTGAGTGAGTGGCAGCTGTTGTTCTGAACGTAAGAGAGCGCAGCCTTCCGAGCGAGGCGTCCTGGGTGCCAAGCCCCCCGGGGACCGCCTCGGCGCTCGGGTCCCGGAGCTTTGCCTTCTGTCAAGCGGGGACAAGTGCTCACCTCACTAGTCTTTTACGGCAGGTAAATGAGACCATGTTTTGCTGCCGCTTCTCATTTCCTTTTTTTTCTTGATTAAAAATAATTTAGTTTGTGGTTTGATTACATTTCCACTATTATTGCATGTAGCTCATTATTTTATCGCATTTTCTCTGTCCTTGAGATAATATGCGAAGTCAAAGAAAAACCTTCAGAATACAGTAATAGCTCATTTCATAGACTGTTTGGTTTTTCAGTTTTTATACTTACTTAATTAAACCGTTATTTTAAAATGTGAACACTAAGCCTTTCATTATTTTCAAGGAAAAAAAGCCTGCGGGTTATGTGAACACGGTTGACGGGTAGAGCTCAGGTTGGGGTTTGGAGGCCTCGTCTCTCCCAGCATTAGGGCTTGTAAGCAGCCTGTACCACAGTTTCCTTGGCGAATAAATAGGCATGTTTATATTTTCAAATCATAGTAATTTTGAGTCAAGAACGTAATATATTTAAGCTGTTTTTATTATGTAAGGGATTTTTTGTTTATTATTGGTACATTTAAAATGTGTTTGAAAACTTGAACATTAAGGAACAAAAAGGAGGAGTCAGAAAACTCAAATAATATTAACAGAACTGCTTTTAGACTGGATGGAGAGCATCGCGTGTTTACTTTCTGATATTCAAGTAGCAGCTGAAACAGTTCTGGATTTCATTCAAGGTGGACGAACTGGAAGCTTTTGGGGAGTCGCTCCTTTCGGCCCCATTAATAATCTTTTTATCAGTCTCTGATACGGAGTTTATGCGTTTACGTACGTGGGGTTGATGGCATTAGGGCTTCAAATGTCACTAGTGTTTGTGAGTAGTGCTTGTTTCCTGCAGTGGCTCTGCTATCTATTATTGCTTTTCCAAATGAGATTCTATTTTGGTTAATCAATATTGCTAACTGAAATCCTTTTCTTTGCAGCTTTACTTACAGTAAATTGAGTTGAATAAAGTGCTTGAGTCTTTAGTGCTGTCTGCTATGTGACAGAACATCTGAGGGCTTTAGGGTCCTAGCTGTAGGTCTTCCCTGAAGCCGCCTACCTCCAAATAGCACAAGCTCTGGGCTTGAAGTGTTCCCAGTAGTAGGTGGGGCTGAAGCAGTAGTACTCCCCCTCCGAAAGCGTTATTCTTGCCCCCCCCCGCCCCCACCCCTGAACGCACTCCCCTCCGGGCACCCTGCCCTGGTCTTAACTACCTTTTATACCCCAGACTCCTCTCAGGATTCTCTAAGGCAGTGGTTCGCAATTCTTTTTAAGCAGTGATGCTGTTTGTTTGTTTTCCCTCCCTGATTTAATTATATCAGAACCTTAAGAAATAAAACAACAGCAACAGACTCTCCCACTGAAAGGGCAGAAAACCACTGCTTGGCCTTTATCCTTCTTTCTTCTTCTTCCCCTGACTAACCCTAAGCTTTGCTCAAAAACAAGAGGCTTAAATATTCCAGCTCCTTCCTGGACTTTGAGCCACATAGTTGTCCAGGTCACTCACTACCAATGTTTTCCTGCAGGATTTTCAGTCAACGCTTCATCAGAGAGACTCAACATGGGAGAAATCGAGACTCTGGATGACTACTGAGCACCCGCCACGGACCGGCCTTCGCACCCTCCCCGCCGACCTCGGGCCCTCCACCTCCGGACACCACACTCACACACCATTTATCTTTATCACTGCAACAAATCACAGACCAGTCATCTCAGGCCTTTTCTTCCAGCCCTGTATCCACGAGTCCTTAAACCGCTTTTGTTGGCGAGCTTCTCAGACTGCAGATAAGTGGCCGGACCCTGTGTCTCGGGGGTGGCAGTCGGGACCGCTCCCCAACAAGGCTGATTCGGGGCAGCACGCGTTTACTGTGCCGTGATTCCATCCACCGTCTCCCAGAAAGTGTGTCGGGATCTGCCAATAGCAATTTACTTTTCTCTTGTCACTTTTTTTCTTTTATTTTGTTTTTCTTCTTCATTTTACCCTCCTACAAGGGCAAGGGGTCTAACTGGGGCAGTCACGAAGAGAGGTAATGGTGACAGGCGTTGGCCACAACGAAGCGCCCGCAGACTGTGACTGGAGCGCCCCAGTCCGAAGGCCGCGCTCCCATCGCCCGCTCTGGGGCTGCATCAAGAGGCCCTAGGGGTGGAGTGTAGTTGGCTTGGTTCGATGTCGCACGCCCCACGCCTCTCCTTTCTGAGCGCCCTTTCGGAGAGAGGATTCAAGTTTTCTTCATTAGATAGTGACTTCTAAGCGAGCTGGCTTCTCCCCTGGCCTGCTCCAACCTGACTGGACAGAGGAGACCCTGTGGCCTGGGAGAGGGACTTATTCTTAATTTTTCTTTCTTACAAAAACTGATTTTTCCCATAAATATTTTTACTTCAGAGGACTAGGACCAGTTTGTTTTGGGCCTTTCTGCTGAAAATTTGTCTCGTTTAAGAGGCAGCTAGGATCTTTACCATATGTATGAATTTGTATAATTTCACTTTGGATAGGGATAAACTTTTGCATCAGATAAAAGCCCGGAATTTCACCTGGTTCCTCAGCATTGCGTGTGTGTCTTGCTATGGCCCCGAAAAAGTTTCGTTTAAAGATTCTGGAATGGCAGTGGCTTGCCTTTCTGAGAAGAGAACATGCAAACAAACCTGCCCATCTTTGAGACCTCCGTCCGTGGAAACCACTGTACAGGAGGACGCGGTGGGATGGAGGGGATGGGCGAGGACGGGAGGGACAAGCTTGGTGCTGGCTTCTGGTCGTGGCCTCCTAACACCCCTTCACTTCAGACGTAAATGTGTTTAAGCCCTATTTATAAACAAATGCTCTTCCTGCCTCCACCAGCCCCGCCCTGCCCAGCATCACCTGGAATTGCCAGTCGCACAGTGGGTGTGGAGCCCTCGGGCCGCCTGCCCCTGTGCGGGCCGCCTGCCCCTGTGCGGGAGTGCTGGGAGTGCTGGGAGTGCTGAGTTCGGGCGGCTCCTGCTGGGCTCCCTTTTCTTTCTGTCGTCGCTGCCTGGAGAAGGCTGGAGTTGCTCTGAGAGCGGTTTGGTTTGGGATGATTATATTTGGTTTCTCTTTTTATTCTTTTGGATTACCATTCTCCCTATCCCTTCTTGCCTCCCTCCCTTAAACATGTACATTAACTATACAGAGACTGCTATAAACATGTATATAGTTTTTGGATCAAATAGCATGAGGAGACGGGGAACCATTTAAAATTGGGACTCCTGCTCTCCTTTGCTTTGTAAATTCAGAAGTGGGGGGTGGGGAAGAGGGATAGTTAAAATGTTTACAGAACTTTAAGCTCCCTCGGAACTTTTGCCAGTGTGGAGGAAAATAAAAAAGAACGTGAATAAAACCCGTGGTATTCTCTCCGAGCGCCCCGCGCACTCACCGGCCTGCGTCGAGGCCGGGTTCGGCACTGAACGGTTCTCTCTTTGCCATGGGAAAGCTCCAGACACGAGCCCCAGCGCCCTGGAGGCACCGGGCTTTCCCTGCCAGGCTGTGAAACGCTGGCTGGTTCTTTATTTGAGAACGTAGAGGTCAAGGTCAACGTGGGTAAGCCTGACCAAATGTCTTTCCTCCCTGACTGTTCCTTTCTGCTGATCTGTGGATCGTCTCCTGCCCTCATACCACAGACACCCCACCCCGGATGTTCCCCTCCAGAGCCTGCCACACCTGCCCCACTAGACTCCGCTGTGTGTGTGTTCGGGGAGTAAGTCAGTCAGGAGCATTTAGGAGTTGGGGGGCAGATCAGAAGCGAACAGAGTCATTTTAGTCATGGAACATTTCAGTTGCTTAACGGGAGGAGCCTTGCTCCTTCCTGAGGAATCTCCCGCGTCGTGGGAAGAAATCATTCGTCCCTGGGATTGTCTGTTTCTGTCTCAGCTCTGCTCACGTTCACATTCTCATTTGTTCACTCTCTCTTCCAGCTGCCACGTTCTTACTCCTTTCTGTAAATGTGTTTGCAAATTGCTTGAACTTTTCCTGAGTTTTAAAGTATTTGTTTTGTACACAGTTTGCTTATAGTATTTTACTTAAGAGATTTTAGAAACATACCCAACAACATAGTTTTGATGATGGAGACTTCCCTAGGATAGTTGGTGCTCTGGTTACTGTTACTACGTAACAAATTACCCCCGACTAGCTTACAGCAACCCCTTCGTTATGTTGATAATTTTGTGAGTCAGGGCTTTGGGAAGGCTCCACGGGGCAGTTCTGTGGTGTCTCCTACAGTTGTGGTCAGATGTCACCTGGGGCTGCAATCTTAGGAAGGCTCGGTTAGGTTGGCCAGCCGACGTGGCTCACTTGTGTGGCAGTCGGTCCTGGCTGTTGGGTGGGAACTCAGGGTTGATGGCTGAAGGAGCTATACACGTCCCCTCCAGCATGGCCGCTTCTGCACGGGCAGACTTCCGGCAGAGGGCGAGTCACCTTTTCTGACCTGAACTAAGGAGTACTTCTGTGACCCTGTGTTCTGTCAGAGTGGTGGTCCCAAGCCCACTCAGATTTGCAGGGTTGGGAACGTCCTCATCAGTGGAAGGAGCGGTAAGGTCACATTGTAGAAGGGTGTGTCGGATTGAAGGGACAGTTGTAGCCATTTGGGGGAAATAATCGCATGAGTTGATGTGTATACATCAAGGACCTTTAACTTTTCATTCAATTCCTTTTAAGTTGAGGGATTACTTTTTTCTTTTTAAAAGCATCATGATGCTTTTAAAAAAGAAAATTTTAAAAGCATAAAAAAGATGCTTTTAAAAAAGAAATTTTAAAAGCATCATGATGCTTTTAAAAAGAAATTAGTTTCTTTTAGGGCAACCATTTTATAAATATCCATGTAGTATATATAAATATAGTATATATAGTATGTATAATATGTGCCATTTTAAATACATTATTTTTAAATTGATCAGATGGAGAGATTTATACAAAATGCTTCATTATTAATAAAAACGGAAGGCCTGTGTGTGACTCTGATTGAACAGAAGCGCTACCGGGAAGCGAACCCGTTTCTCTGTGCCCTCGTTGTGGGAAGCGCAGCTTCACCAGAAGGGCCCAGCCCGGCGGCGGGAGTCAGCCCCGGAGGGCTGGCCTCAGCCTTGCTGCGGAGCGGGCGGCTCCTGAGGAGGAAGCTGCCGTGCTCGTCAGGCCGTCGTTGCCTGGAACCTAGAGGCAGCCGATGCTTGGTGTTCATTTTGCCATTGTCGTCGGACGCCTTGAACGGAATGGACCTGTACAGCTTTTGGTAGTGCCAGTTCCGGACTGGGAACCTGGAACCTTAGAGAAGAGACTTTCCCTCCAGGGACTCATCAGTGGGAACGTTTTGAAGGGTGTTGGTCTAGGCCATGAGAGGAACTGAAGAAACAACCATAGCCGGGCTTCACTGCATGGGATGCTCTTCCCTGACTGCGCCCTGTGGCCTGCGAGCTGCCGTTGCCCCCACTTCATTGCCGGCGGAGTGATGACCTGATGGGGCCAGAGCTCAGGGTCGCCTCCCCACGCAGCCCAGCCCCGCTGGTCTTCAGCAGGGACGTCGTTTCTTAACGGTGGTTTCCTTGTCTCCCGAATGAAGGTGTGGGAGCTGTTTCCCTTGGCAGCAAATTGTCTTTTGCTTGGAATTCTGTTAGCATGAGAAGTGGTCCTGAACGTGGCCAGTGGGGCACTAGCAGGTTTTGGTTGCATGTAACAGAGGACACACCGTAACCATGACAACCAAGATAGCTTATTTCTCAGGTGAAATGTGGAGGTCATCAGTCCAAGGCTGGTGTGGTGTTGCTGGGACCTGGATTCTTTCTGTTCTACCTTCTTGTTGGTGGCTGCTGTTCTCAAGGTCACGCGTGGTCCAAGGTCACTGCTAGGGCACCAGTGGTCATGCCCATATTCCAGGAGACAGGAAGGAGTGGGGCGAGGCAAGCGGGGCACAGGAGCTTTTTAGCCCCTTTTAAGGAGTTTTTGTGAGAGCCCCACCCAGCTCCTAAGCCTCTTCAGCCAGATGTAGATTCATGACTAGGGTCAAAAGGCTGAAGTTTGGGGTGGGTTTCAAACTTCAGAAACTCTGTTTCTGAGAAGTGGGGAGACTGGGTCCTGCACTGCCATTTCCTTCAGTCTTCCGGTCTGAAGTGGGAGAAGCTGGGGACAGTTGAGTTTGTGCACCCCGACTGTGGGGAAGGGATCCTCCTGGCTGCCCCGCCTGCAGCTCCGCCCTGGGGGGAGGGGGCTCAGCACAGCCCTGGGTTCCATGGGGTGTGGAGCTGTTGGCAAAAGCCCTGCCTTGCTGTGTCTGGCATCTCTCGATTCACAGACTCTAGGTTTGGGGTATTTTTGTTTAAGGTAGCCTGGAGTGAACCTTCGAGTGGCTTCACGAATGGATATGGGCCCCTCCACCTACCTTGGGCAGGTATTTGCCTCCCCGTCTGGGAAGCAGGAGCTGTCAGGTAGTCGTGATCGGTAACTTACAATGAGATTGCGTAGTGCAGTGCCCAGCACGTAAACGCTTCATGAAGTCTATTTGTAGGCTGTTTTGCAAGGGAAAAGGGTGTCTGGGGGGTCATGTGCAGGGGCAGCAGGGTGTGATAAACAGGTAAGCTTCCTCTTAGACGTCTTAAAGTCGGTGCCCAGAGGTATCCCTCAAGGAGGTGGTGTCGCGTGAGCTCCAGGACACGGAGTATTAGCACCAGCCTTATCATTAACCGGCTCTTTTTGTCCTGCCTCTGGGCCTCAGTTTCCTTGCTTTTCAGATGAAGGGGTTGGCCCAGGTCATCTGAGGAACTTAAAACAAAAATCAATTTCTGAGCTCCGTGTCCAGAGACTCTGATTTGGGGTGGGTTCCAGCGTGGCGCCCCAAGTGCTTCTAAATGGGCCGCCTGAGTGGGAGCCACCGGCCTAGCTGCTCCGTGAGGTTCCCTTTGGCTCCCACCTGCCGAGTGTGCTGGTGTCACCTGCGTGTGCATAGGCCCATCCTTGCAGCATGCTGCTGGCTCTGCGTGTTTGCTAATGTAGCACTTGTGTCTTAGTGTAGGCGCCTGACGTTGCTTGACAAGTGCCCTTTGCAGTTTTACGGAAGCAGACCCCGGTCAAAACAAGCGTGGTGAGTTATGCATGGGACAGAGACACACACCTGAATTGCTGACTGTCTTTGGTAACATGAAATTAAACCTTGGCAGATTGGGGTCCATCATGAAACAGACACCACCCTAGAGATTCCATCAAAAGGAATGAAAAAATATTAGAGAATTGGTGTTGGAATGGTAGTTAGCAAAACGGGGAAAGAAAGGGTTACTGGAAGATGTGGGAACTGGGGAAGCCACTGACCCCATATCCACGGGCCCCGTCAGTCATCATTTCCATTTCTAGGGGACACTGATGTCTCTTCAGTTCACTGACAATCTCAACTGGATCTTTAGTGTCCTAAAGATTAAATTTTATTATATCTGTATGTCGATGTGGAAAATAAGTTGGTTCCTATCTGCAGATACGTGCGTGTGTGTGTAAGTAAGCAAGGCGTCAGACGTACAGGGCTGTTTCTGGACCAGATCGTGAGGCTGTGGGAGATGGCTGTACACCTTCCTTCTGCACGACCCATTCCCTATTCCTGGTGCCCTCCAGCAGCCCCTCAGCTGTTGGGGGACCTGAACCTGCATTTCCGAGGGCTCTGAGTCCTTAACAGTCCTGAGGGTATTGCCGTTTTTGTCCTTAATTAGCTTTTTTCCAAGTGTTTTGTAATGAAAAAATTCAAACACGTATAAGACAAGTGCCTTAGTTCAGTCCGGGAAGTCCCATGATCTAGCAGCTGCCTGCAGGTTCGGTGTCTGGTGAGGGGCTTCTTCCTGGTTTGCAGATGGCTGTCTTCTTGCTGTGTCCTCAGAGGGCGGGGGTGGGTGGGTGGGTG